AAGATCGCACCGGAAACGCAGGCAAAACGAAGCATACGGCCTTGGGCTCCCAGGCAAAAACACTGTAGCGTGATGTGCAGAAATCGACGCGGCATCTTCAACAGCCCCGACATTTTCGAAAATGTCAACACGAAAATTGAGCTGCAATAGATGGAAAGTGGTCCCACACGGAAATGTTAACGCGTTTAGTGCTGACGTGGCATTTGTGAGGTGGCATAGGAGTTGCGTGAGGTTTGGTGTGGAGTACTGTTGGGTGGTTTTGAGAGGGGGAGGGGGTGTTTGGGTCCTTTGGGGTTCGACTGAGTGAGGAGCGGGAGGGAGGGGGCGTTTTGGTGCTTTTCCAGGATCGGTACTGCCAGGAATGATGCCACTTCTCGTGGCTCATTGCAACGGAGTGCCGGTGGTGCAACAGGCTTGTGTATGTACTGGTTGCCTAGTGTACCCCAGCCTGACTCCTCACTCCCTTTCTCCCCGTAACCCCTTCTCTTCTGCTGTTGCACCCACTCGCGTAAATTGCCCATCCCAGCCTTTACTCGCTTCCGGAAGCAGGCATCAGCGCATTCGTTCGCAACTTCGATTTTAGTGTTTTTTTTTTTTTGACTTAATGCTATTTAGACCAACGCACGTCGACGGTCTCGGAGTCGACTGCCGCAGGCGATACGGTATCCCGAGCACCAGCAATGGCAGCTCGATGTCGACGGCGACGAGCAATTTTTGCTCCTGCTGCTGCTCTGGTAATGATCGCACATTTTCGGCTTTCTTTTTTTCGCTTGAAATCAGTGATAGGTGGTTGTATTGTGATTTTATCACTTCCTCGGAGCGGTAGCCATACGTGCGCGTTGACTACCGAGCGAGGGGAATTGGTGGCGGAAGTGAGGTGAATGTTATTTCCAGAGAAGACAACGTCGTGCGCAGGGCAACGCTACTCGAGGTCCAGGTGGTGGACGCCGCTTGGGCAACGCCGCAAATCGCGAGGAAGTGGCTGATGAAAGCAGCCAGCGCTATGCGGTTAAAGGTGGTAAAAATTTACATGTAAGTTTTTGACGATTAACCCTGTTGGACCAAAATAGCTCCGGTAAGCATCCACCGGGCTATTCATTCGGCTGGATTCCGCTTGCTGCTTCTGGCTCGATTTTTCACTCTCTTGGCGAGGATGTCTCTTTTTTCGAATGAATAGGCACATCTTCCGTCTCCGCTGCTCTGGTGGGTGGTGGGTTGGCCAGTTTTCGTAGAGTTTTGCCCGCGCGGACTGTTTTGGTGCTGCTTAATGGAGCAGAGGGCGGCCTAGCCTGCTCCAGGCCGTTCCTTTGAGTGTGCCAGTAGTGGAATATCGAGCTGAAAATGTGGGTCAGGTGGTACCACCAAAGATGTAACGCGATGTGCACTACCGCTGCCGTGGCCTACTCTTGAGCCTTCGTTGCTGCAGTGGCTTGGGGCAGTTATGCTCGATCACAGAGGTGCACGCAAGCAACCGACTCGGATTTGCTTTGTGGGCTGGAGGACGGATGAATCAGTGAATGGCCGGTTTTAGTATCGCTTAACCCGCGTAGAGGAGTTAGATGAGTAATCTGGAATGAGCATCAG